CGGGGTCTTCCATACTAGTATCACAAGTATAACTATCATGTCACATATTACAGATGCAACTAGTGTTCCACATAACACAGAATGGGCCAGCTTTGGTGCCTTCGACCCATTGGTATGGAGAGGAGACTCACCTTCTCACGAATGCTGGATTGATAAGATCAAATCCCAACTCGTAACTCCGAACTCAACTAATAAGTCAAACTTGGTCAATCATGGTCAAAAGTCAAGGTCAACAATCCATGTTGACCTAACTCGTCGAGTGCATCTAGCAACTCGTCGAGTTCCTTCAGAACTCAGAAAACCAAGAAAATCCCTAACTAACTCGTGGAGTTATCTCATCGACTCACCAAGTTTACTCAGAGTCCAGAAAGTAGGAAACCCCACTCAATTCTTCGAGATGGCTACGCAACTTGTCAAGTTCCTTCAGTCTTTTCATATTCAGTCCTTTCTAGTCGAATCCAAATGCCAAAACTACAGATCCAATCCCCTATGGTTAACTACCATGTAAACTTGCTAATTTTACATCCCTGCATGGCATCCAAGGGATTAAAACACACGTATGAAACTTACTAAGGGGTTTAGGGCATGATGGTTTTCTTTTCCAGTGTCTACTCGTCGAGTTGGGGCTCCCCCAACATGTAGAGTTGAGTCCATAACCTGCGTCCATATTGATCCCTACACGACAAGTTGGAGCTCCCCAACTTGTCGAGACCTAGTCTAAAACCTTAAAATTTTGAAAAAAAAGATAATACATGAACCAAGCGTTACATTTATGATTCAGCATATGTGTGTATGTCACTACACGCAGATGAGATCTCACAATACTATGTTAATGATTGATAGTTTTAACCCACACAATCAAAAGATATCACAATCATATGCTACACTAACAAGGTGCATCACTGGTACTCTCCTTCAATTTTATTCTCCAGTTGTTGTCAAAAAGGGGGAGAAATGGATATTCAACCAAGAGTTAATCAAAGGGAACCAAGCGCAATATAAGGGGGAGTTAAACTGATTTAAACATTCTCAGTTCATATTCATTCTCAGCTTATCATTTCTTTGTTCGTTCGCTGCTCTTCAGAACCAATTCGGATCTGTTGTCTCAACTGCTTGAAAATCAAAAGATGGGAAGTCACTCTTATTTTCAGCGGGAGCATTCGTTAAAGCTAAAGAGTTAAACATTCATTCTTATTCTCAAGCGAAGAATGAACTAAAGACTTCATTGAAGATTGGTTTTGACATCATCAGATAAGGAAAGATTATAAGGTCACACCTTATGATCTGATGAGTCAAACACTCTAACACTATTTTTCAGCATCGAAATCAACTACATCGACAGCGCCAAAATATCAATCTTAATAACGTCATTGTATAGCATATTTATTCTATTTAATCTTTTGTATATGACGTATTGTATAGATAAGTATAGAATAAATCATAGATCCGATATCTTTGTGATAAGATCGTTTCTTAGTATAGATTAGATAAAATCCCTTTAAGATATACAACATTAGGGAAAATCCTAATGTTGTGAACACGACTTTGTGTCGCAATCGTCTTTGTGACAACTGACTTTTTGGTGAGGACAAAACCTCTTTCTTGGTGAAAGAAACAATTTGGAGAGCTCTCTGTGTCTTTTAATTATGTTCTTTATTTTTCGATGCTTAAGTTTCTCTTTACTCTTAATACTTGAAGTGTATCTTATCCACACAAACCTTCATCGTCTTAATATAAGTCCTTACCCATTAAGTCTTGGTGCTTTAATGTACCATGCATCTAGAAACAAAATGCTACAAGTGTATGAACATGGTTTCGTGATTAAATAAATGCAAACATGTGTTCATTTTCCTTTATGGTCTCCTTGAATATTTTATATAAAGAAGAAGCTAGTTTTTCTAATAAAACTTTTTTAATTTCTATAACTTATAAAACACATAAATCCATATAAGAAAAAAAATTCCTCATTGTCAAAAAAAATATGTACATGACATAATAAATCAAACATCATAATATATTATGATATCTTTTGAATCTTAGAATTGAAAATTAATATTTCTATGAAATAAATAATTTACAGTTAATTATATATTTATCTATCACCAATCAAGTTCTTATACATAATATATTTTCACCAAGTTGTTTTTAGTGTGACTATTTGTGATCATATATTATATAACAATATAATTTTATAATGCATCTTGGAATATAGATCTTTCAGAAACATGTTCATATGACATCGAAGCATCAATATTAATTTCCACTTTCTCAATTTTGCCTTTTGAAAACTCATATTTTATTTTGGATTTTTCTGAGATCCATTTTGGTAGCTACAACGTTGCTTTGCAAACATAAATAATTTTCATATGCATCATTTATGTGTTCTTTTGAATATATGATCAATGATTGATATTCTTTGCTTTTGTTTTCCAGCCAATGATCAAAATTATGGAAATTATATTTACCTTTAGAAAAGATAAGCATCACCCTTTTTCTTGAATTAAGATTTAGAAAATTGTGATCATTTGGTCTAAAATTCATATTTTTCTTGATAACATTGGTTGTGTTTTTTATTTGATTTGTTTGTGATAAAGATTTTGTGGTTTTTGTTGAAACGGATTTTGAAAATGTTAGAAAACCAGTTTGAATGACCTTGTTGAAAATGATTTTGGGAATTATTTAGAAAATAATTTTGAACATCTTTTAGTTCAATTCAATTCAAGTTGATATAATTACGTTAAAATTTGATTTTCTTTATTCCAACTCGAACTACTTATTAATAATCCATAATATGAATAAATTTAAAAGGCAATAAAAAAATTAATGTTCCAAAAGAAGGTCAAACAATGTGACCCTCGACCACTTTGTAATAGGTTGTCATTTAATAATATATTTTTTTTTTACGTAAATAGAGTTAAAAACATCAAATGAGATGGTTTCAAAGTAAACAATTGGTTTCATAGCTAAATACCATAAAATAATATTAATATACAATATTTAAGAGTAAATAATTTGTTTTATTTAGTAATAACTATTAAAAAAATCCGTGTAGTACCACCAGTTGGTGTTGGTTTTTTTGGATGGTCTTTTAAAACCAACCGGTGGCACTACACACGTTTTTTTTAATAGTTATTATTAAATAAAACAAATTGTTTACTCTTAAATATTTTATATTAATTTGAAACCATCTCATTTGATGTTTTTAACTATATTTACGTAAAAAAAATGATTATTAAATGAGAGCATATTACAAAGTGGTTGTGGGTCACATTGTTTGACCTTCTTTTGGAACATTAACTTTTTATTGCCATTAAAATTTATTCATATTATGGATTATTAATAAGTAGTTCGGTTTGGAATAAAGAAAATCAAAATTTAACGTAATTATCTCAACGAATTGAATTGAACTAAAAGGTTTTCAAAATTATTTTCTAAATAATTCCCAAAATCATTTTCAACAAGGTTGTTCGAGTTGGTTTTCGATATTTTTAGAATCCATTTCAAAAAAAATCACAACAATCTTTATCACAAACAAATCAAGTAAGAAACACCACCAGTATCAAAAAAAAATATGAAGTTTAGACCAAATTATCACAATTTTCTAAATCTTAATTCAAAGAAAAGGTTGATGCTTATCTTTTCTAAAGGTAAATATAATTTCCATAATTTTGATCATTGGTTGGAAAACAAAGGCAAAGAATATCAATCATTGATCATATATTCAAAAGAACAAATAAATGATGCATATGAAAATTATTTATGTTTGCAGGAAGCAATGTTGTAGCTACCAAAATGGATCTCAGAAAAATCTAAAATAAAATATGTGTTTTCAAAAGGCAAAATTGAGAAAGTGGAAATTAATATTGATGCTTCGATGTCGAATGAAGATGTTTCTGAAAGATCTATATTCCAAGATGCATTATAGAATTATATTGCTAGATAATATATGGTCACACTAAAAACAACTTGATGAAAATATATGATCACAAAAACTTGTTGATTAGTGAACTATGATGCAGAAAAAAAAAGAATTTTTTTATATTTGTCTAATTAGATCATTTTTGTATAAAAATTGTTTATTTAGAAACTACACTTGGTATGTGTATATTTCTTCTTCTGTTGATTAGTGAACTATATACGCATCAAAGAAACGATATTGTTTATCTTTAATAAATTGCATATTATGCCCTTTTGTTTACAGAAGGTTATTGATACCTAATAATTGCAACAAAAAGTTTACTGATTTTGATTGTTATTGTGTATGTTATGGTCAAAAATCTTATATACTTATTCATATTGTTGCATTTCTGTTATTTTTTTTTCTCTATTGACGATATTGTTTATCTTTCTTTAATTACACCATTTCTGTAAAAAAAATTATCTACGTCCACATACCATTAAAATAAACCATCACAAATATGTGTCGTAATTAAAAGTGAGATTATTTGCTATATTTTGAAGGGGATGAGAATCTTATAATATTCATATATACCTTGCAAACTAATGGTAGGAAAATAAATATTCATGAAATAGAGTGGGGCTCTCCTATGAAATTAGGCAATAATTCTTTTTTCATTCAGTTATGTTTGAAAAGCAAATTAATTTAACACCTTTATAATCTTTATGGATTTTCGGTATTTTATTTCGGCAAACATTAAAGAGTATTGATTACAATTGGTATGAAACTCTTCTATTTAATTAAATTTTATTTTTTCTACTTTTATTATATCGATAACTGGCAGCACCAAATCTTACCTTCATAGTTGATGTGGTTATAACTAGGAATGACTTGACTTTCAAGCTTCCTCTCATAAACCTTTGACATCAAATGTCTTTCTACAACAACAATGAAATTTAGTCAATTGAAATGATCTTAATGGATGAACATGTATCTTACAAAAATTATTTTTATATATTTCTTAAACATATTTCATATTTTTAATTACTTTACAAGTTTTTCTTATTGTGTTGAATATTTTTAGGCGAATAAAATCCAAGCAATGGTCTCCAAACAAAACTTACATCGATTCAAAAATGTAGTAAATGATGGGATGACATTTTACATCAGAGGTCCAAACTTTGCAGCACTGAAGACAGGTAGTTTTAAATTAACTCTTCATGATCAAAAATCCACATCCGTCCAACAAACCGTTATTACAGAGTGTAACGATTTCTCTGGATCTGTGTTTGGGTTTTCATTTGTTGATTTTCAAACTGTGTTATCATTGACTCATCCTCAAGATACATATGTTCGTTAGTACATATCATTATATGTTTAAATATAATATTATGTTTTCCAATTCCCAACATAACCTTCATTTGCCTTTTTTTTGTTTTATAGATGTTATTGGTTTGGTTGTGACAATTGCTGAGATACAACAAGGTCATCCAAATAAATCAAAACACAGTCTAAACATCTGCATCCAAGATACAAAGTTAATTTTCTTATATGTTTACATCTTCTAATTTATAAATTTTAAATTGTATTATCTTAATATATCATTTTTTATAAAATAATTTCTTTTTAAAGGTTTGCAACTTCATGTCAATTTGTGGGGTAAATATGTATACAATATGCTTGATTAATACATAACAATCCAGATAATCGTCGTATCGTTGGTATTCTTCAGTTTGGTCAGATTAATGTTTGGAGAGGTATTCAATTTATGTTATTAATATTTATGTTATCCTCATTAAAATAATATTTATATATTTTTGTTATAGATCGTCCAAATGTAAACACCTACTTTACCTCTTCCAAGTTGTTCATTAACTATGACATAGATGAGATTACTAATTTCAACAAAAGGTAACCTATTTTTTATTGTGTTTATTATACAATTATACTTTACATGACTATTTTTTTGTATACATAAAGTTTGGATGGAGATGATCGTCCCGATTCATCTACAAATACATTTTCATTTATTTCATCCAATCAAATTTCTGCATATGATGATTTCATGGTAAAAAAATAACCTGAAGGGTATCATTGAGGTTTGGGAACAAGGTATTTCATGTATTATTGTTTGTTTAAACTTAATATGTTGCTTTAAATATTTTGATCATGTTTTGTGTTTTTTTTGTTTGTATTATATAATTTAAATATATTTCGTTTGCGTTTGTGTTATGTATGTTAATCTAAAGTACATACCTTTTTTTTGTAGAAATGCAATTTTGTTATGGTGGATACTATAAAGGGAATTTTACAAAACCAAAAATGGTATTATCAAGCATGTACCAACTGTTTTGGAAAAGCAATGAAATTGATACTTATCAAACAAAGTCTTATGAATTTCATAATGAAAATTGCATAAAAACTACCACTTTGGTTGTTCCAAGGATGTTACTTTACACTTGAATCTTAATGAACTATCTAATATTTCATCTTTATCACAATATTAATATTATGATCAATTCTTTATAGGTTTATGATTCCTATACGTGTGCAAAATAATATTGGAACTCTAACATTAACCATGTTTAAGAGAGAAGGGAAGTATATGTTGAAACAGTCAGCTAAAGAGTTTGTTCAAAAAATGAGCGAGGTCTTCTCCTTATTTGATGATAATTAAATAAAAAATTGTTATATACAATCACTTTAAGCAAAATATTTTTTTTTTAATTTTGTTCAATTGCAGCATGGAGACGATGTTGGTTTTTATCCGGGGAAAATTAATGCGTTGAAATGTTTGAAATTCGCCTTTAAAATTTATGTTACAAAATTCAATGTCTCCAACAAAAACAACCAATATGATATTGATAGAATCAGTGATGATAAGACTTTAATCGAACAACTTGAAAATAAGTTCACCGAGTCACAGGTTATTTTATTACTTATTTTTCGTTGTATTTTATTTAAATATTCTTTTACTTTTTAGGACATTATTTTATTGTTTATTTTTTGTATTATACAGCCTTCTAATTCACGGTCGTGAGATTTTGGTTCGGTCGATTTGCAATCTCAAGAGATCAAAAATTTAATGGTTAAATACGTTTTAAAATTTTTACGTATGTTCTTAAACAAAAATTCATTTTAGCAATAATAATATTATACGATTATATTTTTTTAGGATGCAGTTTTTGACACGGACGATAACATAACTCCTTCCACTATTGACAAAAACGACACAAGTCCAATGAAGATTTTGAATGCAACATCGGTCTTAAAGCGAAATCTACATCAAAAACTCCAAAAATATCTCCAGATGGTCCAGGAAAACAGTTGTTGAATGTAAAGTTGGAGAAAAATGGTTGATTTATGCTTTGGTGTGATATTTGAATATGTGTTCCATTTTGCAATTGCATGCTGTAACAACGTAAATTTTAAAACAAATTTTAATTTTTGCAAACATCAAAAACCATCGTTTAATATTCCAAATTCAAACGTGAACAATGTTATCATAACAAAATACATCCCATGATCATAAAAACAGTTTCTCCGACAGTGTGTACAATCACGTCGGCGCCTTCCCACGGTCCTCGCTAGTACCTGAAACACATAACACAACAACTGTAAGCATAAATACTTAGTGAGTTCCCCAAAATACAACTTACGCACATACGCCTTTCCAGGCCCTAACCTTCCGGTCCATGTGTCTCAGGGGACTTCCGTCCCGACTAGGTAAACCTTCCGGTCCTACCTGCATCAACCTTACGGTCCATATCACAACGCCTTCCGGCCCATAACATATACGCCTTCCAGCCCATAACATCATGCCTTCCGGCCCATATCAAGCATATCATACATGGCACATATAAACGATTAACTTATCACATACAATGCATATAACTCATAACATATCTGACCTTCCGGTCACACAATAAAACCCTTCCGCGTACAGTATAGTGAGAAAACTCACCTCGTGGAAAGTCTAAGATCTCGCATACTCGCTATCTCCAAATCCCAACGACGACTCTACCTCGCCTAATCATAAAAATATCATTTTAATAATCAAAGACTTCCACAACTAAACTTTACCCCTTATCGTCATTCCTCAGAGGGTAAAAGACCATTTTATCCTTCCTTGACCCAAAGTCTTCATGTTGACCAAAACCCTAATAGTCAACAAAAGTCAACCTTGTGAGTACGCGGGGCGTACTGCTTGATGTATGCGGGGCGTACATCGCCAACCCATGGATCGGGGTCTCTACCCAGTACGCACAGCGTACTGGGAGTTACGCCCAGCGTAACCATCAGACTTTAACATACTTCATTTCTGGTCTTAATCGGTTAAGCCATTACTCTAAATTCTAGATCCGACTCTTTTTATGCGTCTATACCCATAAAGTCGAGACCTTTAAGCCTTGGCATGGCTGTAAAGGCTCCAACACTTCTTAACATCATTCTATTCCAACTCAAGGACCTAGATCTCATGCATGGTGTAATATTCACGTCCAAGATATCATTTTTATGAGTCTACAACTCCAATAGACCATAAATATGATGGATCTAAGCTTATGGAGACCATTTGCACAAAAAGTCTCCATCTTTAGGACTAAAACTATAGAAAATGGTACTTGAAGCATATAACATGAACCATATGTCAAGATCCGAACTTTTTACCTAATAATGAAGCTTCAACCTTTGCAAAGCTCAGATCCACACTTGAACACCACTTCTAGCCTTCCCAATGAGCTCTTCTTCTCCTTTGCTTCCTTGGAATGGCACCACCAAGCTTAGAATACTCACAAAATGGCCTAAGAACGAATGCACACTCTCTTTAGGGTTTCTCTCTGAGGGATGGTGGCTGAGAAGTCCAGCCACACATTCCTTTTATAGCCCTCCGAATGGATTAGGGTTTTTAGGTCTGGACCGGTTACGCCCAGCGTAACCTTGGGTACGCCCAGCGTACCCGAGGGTAAACGCGTCCAAATGAAGCGCATGAGTATGCGCAGCGTACTCCTGGTACGCCCAGCGTACTCGCCTAACATGCAAACCCTAAATGGCAATATATCAAGGATGCAGGACTGTCACACCCCAAAACCGATAACGGCAGAATACGTTTCGGGGTGGAGGACGTAGTGTACAGTATCATCACAATTGTATAATAGTAAAAGCAAGAAACATACAACCATTTCATTTACATAGTAAGTGTATTTACAAGTGTGTTTTGTAATGTTTGACAAACACCAAAAGTAAACAAAAATAAGAGATGGGTCTTGCATACTCCATCTTCTCCAAAAATGTTGCAGCTGTACCTGTCTATCGTTGACCTGAAGATACAAGTTATTTTGAAAAGAATATCAGCATAAAGCTGGTGAGTTCATAAGAGTTTAGTGTGAGTACTTGTATAAAAAGCATTAGAATCATTAGTATGAAAACTGAAGTTTGTAATCATAAGTAGTGGTAAAACCTAGAAAATCCTATATTTTCCAGAACTGTATAGTAAATAAAAATCTTTAAGAAATTTGTTGTTCTATCTTTGAAAGCCATAATCGTAGAAGTGTAATAGTGACTCACCATTAAGTAAGGCAATATAGTGAGTTAATATTGGAGTACATAATAGTGGTGCAGCATCCTTTAGTATTAGATACTTATTTACTTCGGGATATTACTTCATCTTTCTTTTAGTATTTTAGTGCAGTTATAGTGTCTTTCTTGTATGTTACCAAATAGTGTCAGTAATAGCGGACCCTCATGACCTTCCCTGTCATGCATAGTGTAGTAGAGTAAAGGCATCCATGGACCTGAGCGGCTCGGACTGAAGTTATCAGTCGGGATGTAATAGCGTCTGCCCCGTATAGTTCTATACATATAGTGTCGTCTTCCTATCGGAAAACTTCGGGCGTAGTGTATAGCGTATAGAGTATCTCGTAGCGGATTAATGAATTATCTCATGATTAGTACATTCTCTTGTATTATAGTGTAGTAGTCTTTTGTATAACTTGTATTGTATTCTCTTATTAGTGTATTTCATCATAATAGAGAGAATTATAGTAGTGTAGAGTAGTTGTTAAAACAAGGGATAGAGTCCTTAACTATACCTATTATAGTTAAATTAGTGTGTGTGGTTCTAGTCAGGTTAGTGATTTAAGCATCTAATGAAATAAGAAGTACTCGTAATCCGTACTAATATACGAGATATATAACTAAGACATCAATGACAGTCGGACGGATAACCACTACCCTAAGCCCACAATCAAACAAGAAACAGGAAATAAGGCGAGCTATCGGTCCTAAGTCCTTCAAGTCTGACTTATATAAATATATTAGTGTGGTTACATTTTTATAAGGAGTTTTATTAAACAAAAGTGTTGTACAAAAGAAACATTTATAGCTTGTTTGTTTATCCAAGATAGTTTTGAAAACAATTGATTTATTTATAAAGCATTGTGATAAATCACATGTGATTTGAACTACAGGTTGTGAATCACATGTGATTAAATCTGTAATATGAAAAAAATGTCTTGTATAACTTTTCATAAACATGTATATTCAACTTGTATCTCCCCCCTAAAAAATATAAAAACATTTGAAAGGTTCATTAAAGGGGTATGAACTCACCTGAAATCGCGGAAATCGGGTGAATCGGGTAAATCGGGTAAAAGTGTCGATTGAGCGTTTGGTACCAAATAACCACTTGAGCACCTCTTAGGACCCTAATGTCATATGAAAATATGTTTTTTACAATATATTAATCATTTTATGCTTTCCGTTTAAGTATTGAGGCATTCTAGCATCAATTCGGGGTTTTAGGGTCTAGAAGGGGTTCCCGAGAGTGGTACAAGGTCATGAATGATTTACGGGAGGATCCATGAGCTCACTCCCTTGGAGTTTATGGCCCAAAGGCCATCCTTTGGGAGTTTACGGCCGTAAGCCCCCTAGGCTTGGCCGTGAACTCTTGTGACACTCCAAAATGTATGATTAGGGCCTTATTTTACTTCCTTAATTTAATGGTATGTGTCTTGGACTAATAGGGAGGGATTAAACATCATAATTTGTGAAATTTTTGGGGAGTTTACGGCCAAGACTTGTTCTTGGGCCGTAAACTCCAATAAATCCTTCAAGATGTATGTTTTAATGGTACAACATGGTCTCATACACCTTAGATAAATCCTAGAAGGCCCTATAGTGAGTTTTGGGACAATTTGGCATGCACTTTTGGGGAGTTTACGGCCCAAGAACATCCTTGGCCGTAAAATCTTCATTTTGTATCCAAATGTGAAGTTAAATGGTACAACACACTTCCAAAGGCCTTAGCTAAATTCCTTACAAGCACTAGAGTAGTTTAGGGACTTGTTTGACACAAATTTTTGGGTGTTTACGGCCCAAGCTTAAGCTAGGCCGTAAACTCCTGAATTTGTCCTCAAATGGAGTTGTTTGATGCATTTAAGTGTTCCTTGGAGGCAAGTCCAATTTACCAAACATCTTAGAAGGGTTTTTGGGGCTTTAAACATAGATTTATAGGGGTGTTTGAGGTGTTTACGGCCTAAGCACAAGCTTGGGCCATAAACTCCTTTTTACATGTCAAATCCTTGTGTTTTGGTGTCCAAACTCTTCTAGATATATGCCTTAATTAGTATACTAGCTTAAAATAAGGAAAAAACTTGATCTTTGGCATGATTTTGGGGGTTTACGGCCTAAGGAGCTTCTTAGGCCGTAAAATCCTTTATGGTCCTTGATTTCTATGATTTTGGCCCTTAAATTCAATGAAGTATGACTAGATTAAGATAGAGGATGAGTACTTACGTTTGGAAGTCGGAAATTAGCGGATTCGGGGCCGATTTCGAGTCTAGAGAGAGAAAGTAGAGAGAGAAAGTGGGTGTGTGGTAAAAGAGTATTCAAATGTTGTGCACACCCATTTCATATGTCTCGGGTATCGCACCCGATACATGGCTACCCGATGTTTAAAGTTAACTGGGTTAAAACTTTTTACCCGGGTGAAGTGGTTGAAAAAGAAATACAACTCTATTAGGTTAAACGGGGTTAACACGTACGAGTTATTTTGCTTATGATGATATTAAGACATGCATATAATTAGATATTTGGATATTGAAGATTCCAAATATTACACAAAATAACGTATGTTGACGCATTCCGTTAGTGAAAATGGGATTTGTAATGGGAATAGATTTGGGGTTGTCACATCATCCCCCCGTTAGGGGAATTTCGTCCCGAAATTTAGAATACAACAGACACGTTACTATAACATTACTAAGTAAAGAGATGAGGATATTTGAGTTTCATTTGATCCTCGCGCTCCCAAGTGAATTCTGGTCCTCGCTTGGCGTTCCACCGAACCTTCACAATTGGGATGCGGCTTTGTT